TCTATGTCAGGAAGTACATATCTCACAACAGCAATATATTATTGCATCATTAAACATATTGTATTGCAAGAATGACATAGTTATAAATGATTGTAAATTTTATTGATCATTTTGATTCAAACAACAAATAGAAATATATATAACATAAATAATATATTGTTCGTTTTAAAAAGATGTTGTTAAAAAGTTGCTAGTTGGGAACGTTAAGACGGTAATCCATAAACCCTGGCGTACAGTCAAAATAGTTGCTAGTTGGGAACACAACAGTAGGGTCGCAGCTTACAGTTACCGGAAACTCCAATTTTTCTTCTCACTATGCTCCTCTAATACCTGAAATGTCTGTATAATGTAACTTATTATCTTCATTTTCATTTTTTTTATCATTTTCTTTGAAGAAGACATTTAGGGTTTAGAGTTTAGCAACTATGAGGTTTGCCAATTATTTTTCTATTTTGGTTGGATTACATCTGGGGCTAAATTTAGCTTGAACATCGTTAATCGCTCAAAGATTAATTCAAACTTTAGCTCGGATCAAGATCAGATCAAAATAAACAAGTTGAGCTACGAGCCAAATTTTTGGATTGATTTTTTTTCGAGCCGATTTTGAGCCGACCACGACTCGGATCATTAACAAAATATGATTGTGAATTTAGCAAATTCAGCTCGAAGATCATTAATCACTAAAAAAATTGAATTCTTGAAATAAAATTTTAGTAGTAGTAGCTCTAGTGGCAGATTTGTAACTACAAGTGATCAAATCATTTGTGAACGCTTTACATATCTTCGGTCTCTTGTTAAAAGTGATGGTGACATAGATGTGGTGTGATTAATTAGTAAATTTTAAGTTGGTTGGTTGGAACCTACATCATCTCGGCTCGAAGTCAGATTATTTGACATCTTAGTATGTTAGTTATGTCGAATATTATTAAACAGTCGAACATTGACTCGTGATTGATTAAGACGCCTCTCTCTTGTAATGTATGCCACTGCAGCTACACCAGCCCGCTCACATATATTTTTGTTTCTTATTTTGTCTCCAAGTGAAAAATCAATTGCAAACCCCATATGGATCATTGACTTTACAATTGTAGATAAAATGTGAACGAAATATATTCATGAATTAGTTGGTGTGGCTATGGTGACAAATAAGTTAGAGATAAAATATTGATAAATCTTCACTGATTATCGATTCTTGATAGTCCAAACAGCCTTAGTAGGTTGTTAAAGTTATGATTTTGAGTTTAACTGTTGTTTGCTCTAAGAAAATCCGAGTCAAAATTAAAATCAGTCAGTGTTCGAGTGGTACTTATTTTTTCGTATTAAGAAACAGTTATTCCCATGATTTATTTAAACTTCATGACGTCTCTTTCTAATATTTCCTACAACCGTAGCTACTCCAACCCTATCACATGCACATTTGTTTTGTATTTTATTTCTAACTGCAAAGCTAATCATAGAACTAAACATGCTCGTCACCCCGGTACCTTACTCGATTGACTAAACACCTGAAAATATGTTCTTAGAAAGAAATATCTCCTAAGATGTAAGAGTTTTCACATCCTTCATTTCGAAGTCTAATTTCCACAGTTAGAATGGAAATTCACTTCGAAATTTAATTTATTAGTTCCAAGATGAAAATTCACAATAAAATCTAAATTTCATTGTCACAATTCCCATTTTGAGAATGCAAACTAAATTTTAAAGTGAATTTTTATTTTGGAACTAGAAATTTAGACATCAATGTGAATTTTTTGATGTAAAATTAGATTTAGCGATGACATACAAGTCGGAAAAGTGCCGCACCCATTAGTTTTTTTAAGCAGGAAAAACCCTCGATTATGTGTCATTTATGTTTGAGAGAAGTGGTACCAAACTTCACCATTTCCCTCGACCGACCTGACCGAGTCAGACCGACCCCGACCTCTGCCGAATGAGAGAGAACTGCCTCTTTCACGGGGCCTCTTCAAAGCCATCCGAAATGGAGAAAACGCCCCTCCATCTTACCAAGGCAGCACTATATGAAGTCAGGAGACAAACAACCCCCTTCAGTCGCCTCCTCCTCCCTCGTAGCATCAGAGGAAGTTTGATGGCCATCACCCTGGCCTCCAACACCCAAACCCTCGGCATCCCACTCAGCAACTTACTCCGGTGCACTCAGCTCCATCATATATCCTCCTCTAGCGACAATTTGTCACATATTCATCCCCTCGACCGCAACCTAGTCCACTGCCACCGCATCATCTTCAGGACCAACGTTGGTATCTGCCGATATAGAAACGAAGCTCAGGACCTCGATTGCTAAAAAAAAAAAGCAAAAAGCTATTCAAACTACATAACAAGAATTCACCCCCATTTAGATGTGGTATGAGATAAAATGTCCTCACTAGATTTTTTCTGATCCTCCACCTTCAAAAGAGAAATTGCTCCTAGTCGGTCGAAGTCATGCTCGGCCTCAGTAATCGCCACTTCAACACTTCTTTGGGGAACCACAACCCCTGCAGCCACATGGGCGGGCAATCATTCTCCCACAATAGGAACATTCACCCTAGACAAGTGTCTCGCGGGATGGTCATCTGGGCAGCCTCTTACCTATCCCACAACCCTCTCTTAAGGATGGCCCACATGGAGACCAGAAGATCCAGGATGGCTCTCGCAATTGCCGCCTCCAGGCTTGAACATGACTCTCTTCCTACTCTCCCCTTCTGCATCTACTTCACTCATTGGTTTGCGCTTCACGTCTAATTTATGGACCCGCGCCCGCATGTCGGTCATATCCTTGAAAAGGACACTGTTATCATAAGGCAGAGCTCCTTCGCTAGACATCATGAAAAACAAGTAATGAGAAGGACACAAAACAAAGGAGCCAGAAGAGATGAAGACGGTGCAAATATCCCTTGCCTAAAAGCCTATTTATAATAGCCCGGGCAAAAAAATCAAAGGAAGTTCATTATTATGCAATAATATAATTTAATTACTTCATACATGTTAAAAAATTATCTTATCCTCATGTATTGAATAGCTTCGGAGAAGCGAGATAATCAATGAACTAAATATGCACATATAAAAATGTATCGGCATGACTTTCAAAGCAGATGGTCGTTTTAGAAAGGAGCTGCAGAGGATTGAGATAAGGGCTACCAACAATCGTTTCCAGATGAGTATTGGCGAATGAAACACCTTATCTGAATGATCGGCAGAAGACGCCTAGAGAAAGTCGATCGATGGGGAGCACTCTTTTAGACCATATATCGACTTAACTAAAGAATGTTAGACGATCAAAAGCCCTCATTGATCTAATCGACCCGCAATTTTATTATATAAAAGTACCCCAGTAATTACCCAAAAGAACCTCCTCAAAAGTTAATAATGAGAAGACCAATATGTACTTTTATAATATTGAAAATTGTGTCTATAAATAGAGGTTCATATTATGAATAAAGAACTTCTTTTGTCTGTCTACTACTGTTTTTTTCTCTCTCTCTCTCTTAACACTTGGTAATAGAATGTTAAATTCCTTGGGTGTATTTCCCAGACACTTTTGGATCTAAGGGTATCTAATACCTAAATTTAGCATTTTATATTTATGGCAATCAAATCTTTCATATCACATCAAAATTACCACCATTGTAACTTCTAAAATATGAAATACACCTTCTCATCCAAAGATAAGCTGCTATGTATGTAAAAAATGAAATTTAGTTATTAGATTTGTAAATAAATAGGAATTGACTAATTTGTATATAAATTTTTTTTAACTTCATGCAAATAATAATAATAATTGCAGGTGGTCTCTGATAGCCAGTAATCTACCTGGTAGAACTGATAACGAAATAAAGAACTACTGGAACTCTCACCTTTGTCGTCGCCTTCACAGCTTCCATAGAAACGAAGAAACCATAATTGTTGATCTCTGCACCCTATACAGATGCGGCAAGCGACGCCGAGGCGGCCATGCGGCGGCGTCTTCAAGCTCCCCTTCTACTGCCCTTCAGCCTACAAACAACACTTTTGCTGTAGAAGAACAAATGCAAAATATTGATAATGATTCCAGAGGCTCTGATTTTAACTTGGATGAGATTTTTCAAAGTCCATTTAGTTGTTGTGTTTCTCATGCAAATTGGGAATGTTTAGTAATGGCGGAAGAGGGAGTGAACGAGAGAGAGGATAAGGAGAAGGAGCTTTGTCGTGAAACGCTGGAGACATCAAAATCACCATCGCTCTGGGATGCGACCTGGTGAATGGGAACAGTGAGAAGAACTCCATGAAAATAAGGGGAGAGATGCTTTTTTAATATTATTGAAGAAGATAATTCAATTGCTTTGGTTTTTTGAGTTTGGCGTTATATATTATGTGTGGTAAAAAATTTTCTAATGTATTGAGGATGATGACATTGTAACTATGTGCATATGATCTATTATCATATATACAATTGACTAATAAAAATATTTCTATGGTTTAAAATATTTTATAATGGAGGTTTATCTTATTTTTTGATATTTATGAATTTAGTTTATGCCCATTTTATTTCCATCTTTGACATATTGAAGTCGACTCATTGTAGAATATAAAGCACATGGTTTCACAAATTTATCAATGTTATATTTTCATTAAGCGATTAATGAGAGTTAGACTTGACTATTTTCTCTATGAGCAAATTTATTGAGGTTGTTGAATTTTAAAACAATTTTGTATTTAACTCAAGGTCATAATTATCCAATTTTAATTTATTTTGAGTGGGGGTATAAAGTGAAAATACTACTAAAGTAAGAGATGAAAGTAAGAGGAGAGAAGAAAATGTGCTAGGGATTTTTTATGAAGTTTAGAAGGCTAAAGTCCATGCACTCTTTCAATATAATGAGGTACGATATATCATACTAAATAATAAAATCTATTATTTTTTTTCTTGCATGGTTACATGGATAGAAAATGTGGATGAAACATTTTTCATAGTGCATGCTCCCTTTTTGTTTTTCTTGGACTGTTGGCATCGGTTTTTGGATATCACGAGTGTCAACAAATTTTATACGTCGCGTCGCGCACGAAGTTGGCTAGAATTGACCCGATCACCAGCAAGCTCGTTCAAATGACCCCGGATGATAAAACAGACTACGTGATCGCGTTTAGAGCGTCAAGTTTACTTAAAGGAGACACTCATTTTGCCGTGGGGACATGTTTGGGTGGAAAATTCGTGCGAGATAGCACTAATTATAATAATAATGATAATAATATAAAATTATAACATTATATATATATATATATATCTCATTATCCATGTTAAGACCCACGCATGAGAGAGGAAAGGAGAAGTGGTCCCATGTAGAGAAGTGGTCCCATGCAGTAAAAAGAAAGATAATAAATACATATAAACAAATTTATAATAAATGTGATATATTTATCCTTTCTTTCTTGAGAATGGACGCATCTCTCCCTCTCCACATCAAAAGTTGCCTCGTTTCGGACTGCTATTTTTGGGAGACAAAAAGTAACCGCAAGGGGCTCCTCCTCCATCTTCCCCATTCGCGAATCTTGCTCTTCCCCTCCCGATCCTTTTCCTCTATCGCGAACTCTCTGTTTCGCACCTCTCTACGCGACAGAGAGGACCGCTCGGCCTTCTCTTCCGCCGATCTCCCTCTCCCTCTCTCCGCATCTCCTCACAGCCGACCGATTTCGCGAAAACCTCCCGCTCCCAAGCAACGATTGGCAGGAACTGCTCTCCGCGACTCCTCCCCGATCTTCCCTGGCTCCCACTCAACCCCGCCGGTGACTCCTCCTCGCCGGCGAAACTCGGCGCCGCCGTCTCCGACATCCCTCCTCCATTCTTCGCATCTCATCACAGCCAACCTCTCCTTCTTCTTCTTCTATTTCTCCTTCTTCTTCTTCATCCTCATCTTCTCCTTCTTCTTTTTCTTCTCTTTATTCTTCTTCTATTTCTTCTTCTTCTAAATCTTCTTCTTCTTCTTCTTCTTCTTCTTCTTCTTCTTCTTCTTTCCCTTCTTCCGAAATTTTTTTATTTTATTTTTTATTTTATTTTTTTTTATTTTTATTTTTCTTTTTCTTTAAAAATAAAATATTGCATACATACCACACAATTCTTATCAATTTATATATATAACTAATATCTAAAAATTTAATATTTTTAAACAAGCATTTTTATGTGATAGATATATTCATGAATAGGGCTGTCAAAAAAACTCATTGTTCAAGAATAGTTTGTGTTCGGCGTGGGCCGTTTTTATTTTAGGAGGAGGCCAAACGAACGAGCCGAACACAAACAAGTTTTTAAAGTTTGAATTATAAACGAGTAGAACACGAACAACTCTTTGTTTGCTCGTGTTCAGCTCATTTTAGCTTGAAATAAAAAAATACATATAATTATTTATATAATAAATATTATATATGTATTTATATCTAAGTTTAAATCATAATTATTCTTGTGGTAATGTGACTATGCTACTTGTTCAGTATACATTTGGTCCAAGTTCGAATCCCGTACTTTACATATATTTTTTTTAGTTTAATTTTAACGAGTCAAACACGAACACACTGTTCACGAGCCGATTTCGAACACGAGCAATTTCGAACGATCCGAACAAGAGCCAAGCCTGAGCTCGCTCAAGCTCGGCTCGTTTACAGCCCTATGCATGGAATGATGTAATTCACTTTTAGAAAATTACACAATATATTTTTTATAACAATAATTATATTTTTGTAATAACATGACATTTAGGTTGGGGTGGTATTTATGTAAATGCCCCTAAAATAAATATGTATTGTCGAGTGAGGGCGAAGGGGTGATGGGGGACAGGGAGCATATGGTGACAGGTTTAGGTGGTGAGCTCAATATGATTAGATATATTAAGTTTGGATTAATTAAATACTAATTTTTGTTTTTAAAGTTATAAGTGATTAATTAGCCAAAGTAATTTTATAATAAAGCTTGGGCTAGGCTTAGATGGCTTAGTATTGGGCTTCGGCCCGGCTCAGCCCGGCCCGCCGACCCCTTCACTTCGCTCCGATTGGCCGCCCCGGCCCGACGAGCACCTCACTTCGCTCCGATTGACCGCCCCGGCCCGACGAGCACCTCACTTCGCTCCGATTGACCGCCCCGGCCCGACGAGCACCTCACTTCGCTCCGATTGACCGCCCCGGCCCGACGAGCACCTCACTTCGCTCCGATTGGCCACCACGGGCCGACGAGCATCTCACTTCGCTCTGTCTAGCCGCCCCGGCCCGACGAGCACTACACTTCACCTCGTCCTGCCATCACGGCCCGACGAGCATTACACTCACCTCGTCCTGCCACCCTGGCCCGACGAGCATGTTACTTCACTTTGTCCGGCCGCCCTGGCCCGATGAGCATTTCATTTCATTTCAATTGGCTCCCCTGATTCAGTGGATACAACACTTTAGTTTGGTTGGATTACTCGACCCAGTCGACCAATTTCTTGCATCACCATATTGTCTTGCATGTATGTTTGCAATTTTTGTATGTTGTAGTGCATATGCATGAACTAATGAAAAGCATTCGAACACGCTAACTTTTTATCTATTTAAATAATTAAAGATATCATAGAATTTCTTAAATATTTGCAAGTGGGTATATTATTATAAAAATATCTTTTAGTTATATATTTTTAATAAAAAATATTTTTACTAAAACTATCACGTATTTTTACTAGAACTATCACATAAAAAATAAATTATGAATTTAATTTTAAAACTATTTTTTAAAAAAGGCCACTACCGCTACGGTATGCCCATTCCTATGAGTAGCTGCCTTACTACATCTTAAAATAACTTCACAATTAACTATAACAAACTAAAAAAAAAATTCCTAATCTTACCATCCCAAGCATGTGATTGACATTGTGAGAAAACTTATTAGGCCTAACTTGCGTCACCGCTCTTTGTGACACCCTTTAGATCCTTTAGATCTTTAGGATGGGGCCGGTATGACGACCCCGTCAAAGTCATACTATACCTAGACTTACCCCCCACTTAGATACTAGGTTGATGCACTTTTCGTTAGATGGTGTGCTAGGCTAGGATTTAGGGTGCTAGATAGTCTTTTTGATGCCTGGCTATTGTTCTCTGTTGGATTTGTTGCCCTAGCCAGGTATCTTTCTTTTGCATTATGCTTGTGATGTGATTGCATGTTGCATATGTGTGGTAGTATGTTAGGGCGTTCTTCTGCAGGGAGTCATGCATATTTTTATACACGCACACAGGTACCGCTTTGGGGGGAGCAAGTAATGATTTTTAACCCTTTTGCTTGCAGGTTGAATCTAGTCAAACTTGTATTATGAGGTTAGTAATGGTTAGTCAAAAAGTAAGATTCTTGAGGTTGAATCTAGGATAGATCCTGAGGATAAACTTGTACCAGACCATGTATGCACCTTCTTAGGATTTGCAAATCCTCACGGTTTGGTGGATTCAAATTAAGTCACGATGACTAAATCCCTTCCTTTAATGAACTTTCACCTAAGTCCTGAGAATACCTCAGAATGACTAGATGGGTGTCTTTGAGATGTTAGTAGTTTCAGAGTTATTAGATCTCTTACTTTTCCATTCAGCTAAACCGATGGAAGCTTAACAAGTAATGAATCATGAAATTTTAAGAATCTTATTTTGGAGAATTTTGAGTCAAAACAAACTACTTTATTACAAAAGAAGCTCTACCAGATATAGTAATTCTCAGGAAAAATAAAAAAAAGTGCAAAAAGGCCTTAAAAAGTGAAATTTGGCCAACACTC